GCAACTCTCTAACATAATGTTTCGATAGTGTAGATATGCTATTGAAAGTACTGGTTTTGTCATTTTTTGTAGGATATCTCCTCTGTGAAATATAGGTGTGAAACTCTCTGTTAGTGCATGAGGCACTTTTAATGAGAGAAAGAGAGAATAATAAAGGAAATAAGGATTTGTATTATTCAAGTGTACAAATAATGATACACATTATGACTATTTATATACAACCCTAATTGGGCTTGGGCTAACACAATTTAGATTATATTAAATATTAAATCTAATCAACTCTAATCTAATATAATTTAATATTTCAACACACCCCCATAATCCAAGTTGTCGAACATCTTCAAAAATAGTCAATCTGAACTATTCCTAATTTCTTTCTCAAATTCAGGAATCTGTCGATCTTCAATCCTTTGGTGAAAATGTCGGCCAACTGTGCTTCACTTGAGCAATGCCTAACTTCAAGTTCACTTTGATTTACTTTTTCCCTCAAGAAGTGAAACATTGCTTCAATATGTTTACTTATTCCATGCAAAACTGGATTTTTTGCCAGATTTATGGATGACTTGTTGTCGATTTGCAATACTAGAGGTTTCTTCACTTCGACAGTCATTTCTTCAAGTATAGATCTGATCCAAATTGCTTGACATGCAGCATAGGATCCTGCTATATATTCAGCTTCAGAATATGACAATGCCACCACAGGTTTCTTCTTCGAACACCATGAGATTGGGGCACCAAATACTTGAAAGAAATATCCAGTTCTGCTTCTCCGATCTTCCTTATCTCCACACCAATCAGCATCTGAAAAGCAATTAACTATTTCTTTTTTGCCTTCATAATCTCGTCTAAATAGTATTCCACAATTTATTGAACCCTTCAAATATCGAAGGATTCTTCTTGTAGACTACATATGTGACACTCTTGGTTCACCCATATATTTGCTTACTAATCCGACTGCGAAACCTATATTAGGTCGACTGTTGCACACATACCTCAGAGATCCCACAATTTGCATGAACAAAGTTGCATCGACTTTGTCTTCCTCTCCATTCTTCTCAAACTCACATTTGGTTCAACAGGTGAGGATGCAGGATTCGAATCATCCACTCTGAATCTCTTAAGCATCTCTTTGACATACTTTCTTTAATGCAGCACCATACCTTGCTTCGACATTCGAAATTCCATGCCTATAAAATAAGACAATTTTCCTAGATCCGACATTTTAAATTCCTTCGTCATCAGCTCCTTGAACTTCGACAAGTTCTCCAAACTATTTCCAGTTACTAGCAAGTCATCAACATACAAGCAAATGATTGTTATATCTTTTGCTACAACCTAAACATAGACACCATACTCTGATTTGCATTTGACAAATCCTAATTTGACTAAGTATGAGTCGATCTTCTTGTTCCATGTCGTAGGTGCCTGCTTGAGGCCATAGAGCGCTTTGTGCAATCTATATACTTTACTCGCTTCCTTCTGAATCACAAATCCAGGAGGTTGTGTGACATAAACTTATTCGTCTAAAGGACCATTCAGAAATGTTGATTTCACATATAGATGGAATGTTGATCAACCTTGGTTGCATGCCAATGCTACTACTAGTCAAACAGGCTCTAATCTTGCTACTAGAGAAAATACTTCAGAGTAGTCAAGTCTTGCTCTTTGAAGAAAACCTCGAGCTACTAATCTTGTTTTATGTCTTGCTATTGACCAATCTGCATTGTGTTTCAACTTGAACACCCACTTTACTTCGATGGCTTTTGTATATGGTGGTAATTCGACTAACTCCCATGTGTTGTTTCTTTCGATTGACTGTAACTCTTCAACCATAGCTAACTTCCACTTGTTAATCTTCAAAGCTTCGCTATAGTTGATTGGTTCAACACCTTCAAGTAAAGAAAAATGAACTAATGCTCCACCTGGTGTGATTTCATCATCACCTATCACTTCATAATCATGAAGTCTTGTGGGAAGAACTTTATTTCTTTAAGGTATTTGGCTTGTTTCAGCCACAACCTCTTCAACTTCGACTGTGACGGGAGTATCAGCAACCTCTTCTTCTTCGACTTCGACTGGATTCCCAAAAATTCCTTCGACCTCTACTTCATTAGTTTCTTCATCGAAATCAAAGTTCATTAATGATTTGTTAATTGAATTGCTAGAATTCCAATCCCAGGCAGAATTTTCATTAATCACAATATCTAGACTCAACACAATCTTCTCATTAACTGGATTGAATAGTCTGTGTGCACCAGTTTTATGATATCCTACCAGAATTATAGGTTCACTCTTGTCATAAAGCTTTATTCTCCTTGCATCAGAAACATGCTTGTAACACATAGAGCCAAACACCTTCAAGTGACTTACTGATGGTCGTTTGCCACTCCACACTTCTTCAGGAACCTTGTTCTTCAATATCTTAGTAGGACACCTATTCAAAATATAAACTGCAGTTGAAACAGCTTCTCCCCATAAAGATTTTGGCAAATTATTTTGCTTCAGCATGCATCTCACCATATCTAATATGGTTATATTTCTTCTTTCAGCAATTCCATTATGTTGAGGTGTGTAAGGAGCAGTTACCATATGATCAAAACCATGTTCTGCACAGAAATCTTCAAACATCTTGGATGTGTATTCGCCATCTCCATCTGTTCGCAGAACTTTGATCTTCTTCTCACTCTGGTTTTCGACAAGTATCTTGAATCTCTTAAAGATTTCGAATACTTTGTCCTTTCATTTGATCACATAGATTCGTAGCTTTTGACTAAACTCATCGACAAATGAAACAAAATATATGTTTCCATCAATTGTATGTTCTTCGAATGATCCACATACATCTGAATGCACCACTTCGAGAATGCAGGATGATCTCATTGACATAGTCGAAACGAAAAAATTTCTAGATTGCTTTCCCACTAAACAACCTTCACAAAGTTTTTCAAGCACCTCAAGGCTTGGAATACCAGTAACCATATCTTGAGTAATTCGTTGATTAAGTGATCGAAAATTCAAATGTTCAAACCTCAAGTGCCACAACCAACTATCCTTGTGGTTGACAACAGTTTTCAAGCATTGAACTTCTGTCGAACTGATCATAGTCTTAAATGTCCTATTCTTCGACAATGGAGATTTTAAGACCAAATTGTTTTGTGTGTCAAACAATTTCAAAACTCCATCTTTCATGACAACTGAGAAACCTTTTTCGACTAGTTGTCCAACACTTAGCAAGTTCCATTTCATTCCAGGTACATAGAGCACATCTTTTATCATAGATTTCCCTCCATTACTCATTTGAAAGACTATGTTGCCAGTACCTTCTGCTTGCAACGAACTATTATCAGCAAGTTTTACCTTGCTCTTCTTCAACTCGTCAAAATCTGCCAACCACTCCTTTCGACCAGTCATGTGGTTCGAGCAGCCTGAGTCGAGAAACTAGATATTGGACTCAACATGGTTATCTGCAACTGCAGCCATAACCATCATACCACCTTCAGAATCATCTGAATCTTGGCGTGCAAGGTTCGCTCCTTCGTCCTTGCCTTTCGATCCCTTGTCTTTTATGTACCAACAATTCTTGGCCAAGTGTCTCCACTTTTCACAGTTATAACACTGCATACCTTTCTTATCTTCTTTGTCCTTTCGATAGTTTCCTCCTCCCCTTTTCGAGGATTCAGAAGATCTATCTTCGACCTTATTCTTATGGGGATTCGACCAAGACTTCTTGCCATGAGTCTTGTCGAACTTTCCTTTGAATTTGTTGGAACCACCATCTTTTTTCTATGATTGAGCTTGCAGTGCCTATATCGAGTCCTGAACTCCTTTCTTTTCGACAATCCTCATCTCATGCGCCTCCAACAAACCAACTAAACCTTCCACTTTAGTGGTTTCAAGATTGTTGGATTCTTGAATAGCTACGATAATGTGATCAAAGTGAAAGGTCAACATTCTCATTACCTTCTCAACTATCATCTTATCAGTAATGGTTTCACCATAATCCTTTATGAGATGGACGAGTTTCTGAATCTTTGACACATATTCTGCAACTTTTTCATCTTCTCCCATCGATAACAACTCATATTGTCGATGCAAGGTTTGTAATTTGACAACCTTGACTTTCTCATCTCCTTCGAAATACTTTACCAGAATATCTTATGCCTCCTTCGTTGTTTCAGCATGAGAGATTTTGTCGAAGTTAGCAGCATCAACAGTCGTTTGAATACAATAAGTAGCCTTGCAATCTTTCTTCTTGACTTTGTTGTGGGATTTTTTCTGTTCGTCGGTTGCATTTGCAGCCAACGCAGGAACGCCGTCGATAACCACTTCTAGGGTTTGATGGAAGTCAAATAAAGATTGCATCTGTTTTTTCCATCGTATCCAATTTTTGTCGTCAAGCGTTGGAAGAGAATTCAGAATGCCCTTATCACTAGCCATCTTCGGAGCGGTTGATTTACTTGCCCTAGAAAAACGATCTCTGACGTGAAATTATTGAAAACTTGATCAAGAACAATAACCGAAAGATCTGGATACCAATTTGTTAGTGTGTGAGGCACTTTTAGTGAGGAGAGAAAGAGAGAATAATAAAGGAAATAAGGATTTGTATTATTCAAGTGTACAAATAATGATACACATTATGACTATTTATATACCATCCTAATTGAGTTTTGGCTAACACAACTTGGATTATATTAAATATTAAATCTAATCAAATCAAATCTAATCTAATTTAATATTTCAACAATCTCGACTGACATTTCCAATTTTTTTTTATAGATAGTGAGTTAGTTTCTACTTTTAAATTACAGTGATGTATAAAAAATGTATTTTAATATATATATTTATAATACTTATAAAATATGATAACACGGCTAAAGTTCAAAAACTAAATATTTCAAACTATTTACAATACGAAAAAAGTATTATTTCGTAACAATATTTAGACTACGTATACGAGCCATTATACATGTAGATGATAGTTAACCCTTTGAGGATGATTCTTACATTACAAGCTTTTTGCAGACTTGCGCCATGGTAGGGCGAGATCTTGGACTTTCAGTTAAACATGAAATTGCTATCCTTATCATCAAACTCACGTCCTTTTGAACATTGTTTCTGGGATATGGGAGACGCTGGTCCAACTTCTCCATCCATGGCAAAGTATCAAGTGTGAGGTCCATAACACTTTCTGAAGATTGTTGCCACAAACAAGTTACAATATCTCCCGGATGCTTCCCAAAAAGTATCTCTAAAGTTAATATTCCAAAACTATACACATCACATTTTTCATTTACTTCCATTGTGTATGCTAGTTCTGTTGGAATTGAAAAAAGAGTTATTGTGTGAAAATTTGGATTACAAAAAAAAAAAGATTTAAAATAGATTAATGTATAGAAAGGTAAATGACCTGGAGCTGCATATCCAAACGTTCCTGCAAAAGAAGTCATATTGGATGAATTGGGATTTAGAAACTTAGATGTTCCGAAGTCCGAAACATGAGCGACATATTCCAAATTCAAAATAACATTCTTGCTGGATATATCACGATGAACAATGGGAGGTGTGCAATCATGATGCATATAAGATAAAGCATTTGCAACATCTTTAATGACATTCACCCTCCTCTTCCAATCAAATTCACCAGATGTTTCATTCTCCTTCAAAATGTTGTCCATGCTACCCTTTTCCAAGAATTCATAAACCAAAAATGAGTGTAGTGAATGTGAACAAAACCCATATAACTTCACAATGTTCCGATGTCGAATCTCTGTCAAAGCACGAATCTCACTCTCAAAAGCTTTCAGATTGGACATTTCTTCATTTTGTAATGAATGGATTTTTTTCACAGCAACAACTTGACCTGTGGGCAATTCAGCTCTGTAAACACTTCCATGCCCTCCAACTCCAATGAGATGCTTGTTGTCAAACTCTTCTGTGGCTTCAATAATATTCTCATACACCATTTTCCCATCAAAACTCCATATAGAAAAAAGATTTACATTGTCTGATTCTTCAGGAGCCTTTAAATCTTTTTTTCTTGAAATTTGATATAGATGATATGAGATCCAAAAAACAAACAATGCTAACAATAATGTGCCTAGAGTGAGGGGTAAAACAAGCACCAAGATTTTGTTATTCTTATGACTATGATAGTTTCCACCTGATGTTGAGCAAGGCTTAAGGCCAGAGACATTACCACACAAGCCTTTGTTATTTCTGAGTTGGTTAAATGAGGCATTTTGGAAGGCTGGAATGTTTGGAACTGGACCCTCCAATTGATTGTATGATATATCAACATTTGTCAAGCTTAACATGTCACCATAGCTCAAGAGAATGGTACCAGAAAGATTATTGTGTGAGAGATTCAATGTTTCTAAAGAATTTAATTGTCCCAGCATCGATGGTATGGTTCCATTTAAAAAATTCTTGCTTAGATCAAGTTGTTCAATAACTTTCAATTGGCCAAAATCATCAGGAATGTTTCCTTCAAATTTATTGTGACTCAAATTCAACTGCAATAATGCTGACAACCTTCCAAGTTTTTCAGGGATGAAGCCACTTAAATTATTTGTTGCAAGCTCCAAGGAAGTTAGTTCACGCAATGATGCAATTTGTACAGGAACTTCTCCCGAAAGATGATTGTTACTTATCGAGAGTTTGTACAAAAAAGATAAGTTCCCTAGCTCCTTTGGAATTTTTCCAGTAAGATGGTTTGAAGACAAGTTAAGTTCACCTAAATTAACTGCATCACCCAATTCTGGTGGTATGGTTCCTGTTAAATTATTGTTAGAGATTTTAAGGCTTGTGAGATTCTTGCACTTTCCCCAATTTGATGATAGATGTCCATAAAAATTATTATTACTTAATTCCATGTAGACCAAATTCGGATACACACCAAACCCATTTGTTATATTATCAGTTAATCTGTTTTGATCAAGTCTAACTCTCTTTAAACTTGAGCAATTCTCCAAACTATATGGAATTAGGCCCGTAAATTGATTATTATTAATAGTCAAATAAATCAACTTCCCACCAACACAAATGTTGTGAGGTAAATCACCTGTGAAATTATTGTAAGCTAACTGGAGTGATTCCAAATCTGTAAGTCTATTCATTTCAGTTGGAATATTTCCAGTGAGAGCATTTGATAAAAGATGTAATATAGTTAGTTTTGTTAAATTTCCAAAGGTGGAAGGAATCCGTCCAGACAATTTATTTTGTGAAAGAGAAATAGTATCCAAATTGACTATGTTACCTATGGAAGGTGGGATTTGTCCGGTGAGAGCATTTGAGAAAAGAGATAACATAGTTAGTTTTGTTAAATTTCCAAAGGTGGAAGGAATCCGTCCAGACAATTTATTTTGTGAAAGATAAATAGTATCCAAATTGACTATGTTACCTATGGAAGGTGGGATTTGTCCGGTGAGAGCATTTGAGAAAAGAGATAATATAGTTAGTTTTGTTAAATTTCCAAAGGTGGAAGGAATCCGTCCAGACAATTTATTTTGTGGAAGATAAATAGCTTCTAAGTTGACCAAATTACCTATTGAATGTGGGATTTGTCCGGTGAGAGCATTTGAGTCAAAAAGTATTGCAGTTAGTTTTGTTAAATTTCCGATGGTGGAAGGAATTGGTCCAGAAAGTTTATTTTGTGAAAGATAAATAGTATCCAAATTGACCAAGTTACCAATGGAAGATGGGATTGGTCCAGAAAGACCGTTTCCGTCCACTTGTATTGTGGTGAGGGAATTGAGGTTTCCAATTTCACTAGGAATGCTTCCAATGATATGGTTTGCATAAAGGTACAGAAATTGTAAATTGCTCAAGTTTCCAATTGATGAAGGGATTGTGCCAGAGAGAACATTCGTAGACAAATCAAGAAGGTCAAGTTGTTTTAGAAACCCTATTTCACGAGGAATAGAGCCAGAAAGACTATTATGTTCAAGAAAAAGATTCTTGAGCTTAGCCAAATTTCCAATTTCACGAGGAATTTGGCCAAAAAGTTGGTTGTTATTTAACAAGAGACTTGATATATTGGTCAATTTTCCTATAGAAATAGAGATAGACCCTGTGAGATTGCAGTGACTAATATCAAGATCTATTAAGTTACCCAACATCCCAAACTCCTTAGGCATGAAACCGTAAAGGCCACTTTCTTGAAGATGAAGAAACTCTAGGTTCCGTGACTTGAAAATATTTTGTGAGATGGAATCATTGAAGTTATTATTTTGAAGTGACAAATACTTTAAGTCCATTTTCCAAATCCCATGAGGAATGTTTCCAGAAAGGCTGTTTTTTGCAAAGTCAAGGTGTGACATGTTGGTTATCTTTTCTATCGAGATTGGAATAGTCCCTATGAGATTGCAAAAAGAAATATCAAGCAGTGTCAAATTCCTCAGTCTACCGATTTCTCGAGGAAGATAACCACTAAGAAAAGAATTGTGACTCATTGAAAGTGTATAAAGACCAACCAAATGGGTTATCTCACTTGGAATTGTGTCAGTGAGATTATTGGAACTGAAATCAAGAAAGGAGAGTCTGGAGAGATTACCAACAGTGTTGGGAATACTACCATGGAAATTGTTTTGTGAAAAATCAAGAGTGTCTAGGTTGGACATTACCCCAATAAGGTGTGGAACAACACCATAGAACAAGTTGTTTTTTAAAACTAAACCATGGAGTTTTTGAAGTGATGAGAAATTGAGAGTGTGAAGCGTACCTTTTAGTCCAATATTGGTGAGATTTACCTTAGAGATGGATTTAGAGTCATGATGACATTCAATTCCTTCCCAACGACATGGGTTATTACCAGTCCACGAAGCGAGCAGAGTCTTGTTTTGGTTGTCAAGGCTTGCTTTCCACTTCAATAGAGCATCTGCCTCACTGCCTTCAATATGGTGTGTGCCATTTACAAACATGCAAAGGCACAAAACAAGACATGCCATTTCTAAAAGCATCATTTTCTCAACCATTTTGGAAACTATTATTGAGGTTGCATGCCTTTTAATGCCAGATGTGGCTGATATTTATACACACCATAATTCAATCAACTATTGCTTTTTTTGTTTGTAATAGCAAAGACTGAGCTAAATTATGGTCTTCAACTTTTGTTTTTTTGTTTATATGTTTAATATTCATTTTTAAAAATTGGTTTAGGTTTCGGCTCTTATTATTTTCAATAAACATTAAATTTTACAATAATAAAATAAAAGTATATAATTTTTAATTTTTATTAAAAACATTGAGGTTGATATTTATATCTGATTTATATTAAACATGAGGTTTATTAAGAGTGATAAGTTACTCGAGTTTTTAAAATATTAGAAGTTTTATTTATTTTTTTAAATTGAAAGACAAATTTTGATATTCTATAACATAAACATAAAGATCAAAACATAGTCAAAATTGTAATTTTTTCAAAAAATTGTATTTTAAAAATAATTTTTATGAAAATTTTTTTGAAATAGTTTTAAAATTAAATAATTTTTTTAAAATTTTAATATCCAAAAAAATTTTAATAAAATATTTAAAATGACATTTTAAAAATAATTTGTATTCAAAAACAAATTTTTATTTAAAACGTTTATGAAAAAATTATAAAATTTATTTACACAAAATTATTTTACACTATAAAAATTATTTTAAAAAAAAACCAAAAAAGAGAAAGGTTTATAAATTCTACGATAATTATCATTTAAAAAAGAGAGAGAAATTAAAGGAAATTTGAATTAGAAAAATATATTTAAGAAGAGAGAGAAAATTCTTTATTAAGACCTGAAATCAAAACATTACAACTCTTTTTTGAATTTGTTTGAGTTCTATTTAATCTACAGCAAAATGAATTATGAGAAGTTTTTCATATCGAAACAATAATAAATATGGTATCACGAGAAAGTTCATTGCATAAGCTATAATAAAATAAGGCTACCTCAAATCTATGTGATTAATGTTTTAAATAATGTTACGATTCGGTTAGTATAAATGTTATCGTATTGATTACGGTCAATGCAGTGTGAATTAATCATAATTTTATATATTAACATAAAAACAATTAATAACAATATCAATATATTTTATTATGATCATGTTTCCATCTCACATCTCCGTGATCACTGTGTTTTCCATTATTTTTCTATCCACAACCACAATAAACTAGTTTTTCTATTGATCATAGATTTTCGTAAACACTAGCAACCGCCTCAAATACATCATTGGATTAGAAAGAGGTGTGGTGGAATAAGACACAAATCTTAGAGAATTTTGAATCAATCTTGTTGAATATTACAAGGTGAAGAGATATGAAAAACTGACTCATTGGACTTTTCTATTATGAAATGCAAAAGTGTATCCGTTTACAATTTGAATATACAATTGCTTTATATAGCCAATTGGACTCAAGATAAATTCCAAAGTACTCCCTCCGGTCCTTTTTATAAGAGACACTTCACATTTTTATATTCATTGAATAATTAATGTACTTGGTCTGTAAATAGACCAGATACATTAATTATTCAATGAATCTAGAAGGGTGAAATGTCTTTTATAAAAAGGATTGGAGGGAGTAATAACTAACTAAGTTTAAATAGAGAAACTCTAATACCCCCATAAGCTTGGGGTAGATAGACTGAACTCAAAACTTAGATAAGTGATAAGAGAAGGGTTTGATGTCCAAGGGCTTGGTGAAGATATCGACGACTTGTTTTGAAGAAGAAACAGACAGAAGGTGAAAAAGTCCAAGTTGTAGCTTTTCTCTAACAAGTTGACAATCCAAATCTACATCTTTTGTGCGCTCATGAAAGGATGAGTTGTAGGCAATATGGTGTGCAGAAGCATTATCGTAGTAAAGAAGAGAAGGCTTGATAAAGGGAACCTTTAATTGCAGCAGAATGTTGGTTAACCATTGGATCTCACAGACTATTGTCATACCCTGATTTTTAGCCCTAAGATCCCATACCCTTTGCATTATTGCATATCATTAAGATCACAAACTTGGTTGCTTCCTAACCCTCATATCTCTGAGTTTTGCCTTGAAGAGATCATCAAGCACCCTCTTGTGTATCTTGTACATTTGTGTCTACATATCTTTAAGTATTTTTAACCTTAACCAAAATCCAAAAATATGCCTTGTTTCCTTTTGTTTATTGTCCAAGATAGGTTTTGAATCAAGAGCATCAAGCATGATCCCCTCAGCTAGGGTTTTCTTCCTCAAGTCAAAGTGTGATCAACCATTGATTTCCAAAGGATTTCTCTTCAAAGCATGCCCTCTAATCTCAAAGTATATGATCTCAATCATCATTCAACTTTATTTTGATCATGAATATCTCAAGGATTAATAGCTTGTTTCTCAAGAAGCTTCAAAGCTCGTGTATTTATTTCCATTCCTTCTTCATCAATTAAGCTCAAGCTATGACCATATTCAATCAAAGTTCAATCAAGCATCCATCATGAGAAGTTCATTTGTGAATTATTGTGTCTTGAAATGCAAGAAGAGCTCAAAAGATTCAAGATTGATCAAGGTGGTTTAACAAAAAAGTCAACATTTTAAGCACAAGTTCAAAACTTCACAACTCCTTCATTTTTCAACATTTTTGGATGCTTCTTTGGGCATATGCCTCTCATTGACATCATCTACAAATTCTCTTTACAAGTTAAGATCCAATTATGTTTGGAAGATCATCAAAAATTTGAAAACATTAGAGGTCACTTTGTGGACTTAATGAAATTTGAGCTAATTTTAAGTGCATTTTGCCTAAATTTTAAAGATCATAACTCTCTCAATTTTCAACTCCTGTGAGTGATTCTTTTTTCTACTTGTCATTTGGGTTTCCCTCTACAAGTTTGTTTCAAGGATCAAAGACCAATTATGCTTGGAAAGCATTGAAAAGTTTGAGGATATTATAGGTCATTTTGAATTTAGAATTATTTTGACTTCCAAAATCAGATCATTTTACAAACTTCACATGGTTATAACTTTTTTGCTCGGGTGTCGAAATTAATACCTTTTTGTCACATTATACTATATGTGATTATGTGAGCATTTTGCAAAAAGAATGAGCAATAAAGGCGATGTATACAAGATGACACACAAGCTTAAAGTTGGGTGCATGAAACTGCATTTTCTATTTTAGTCAGATTTTTCACTCAATCAAAACTCACTCTAATGATCAAATTACCATGTGTTTTGGACCTAAACATGATTATGGAAGTTCACTCTAATGATCAAATTACCTCTGAATCAAGCAGACAAAATAAGATTTAATGATCACTGCAAACATTCTATGTTGATCATCTTCGATCTTGATCCCCTCTACCTTCGATCTTGATCATCTTTCATTCCCTTTCAATGAATATGCCAAAAGCCCCATGACTAAGCCAACAATTGTTGAACCTGAAGGGTTTTGGCCCCCAATCTTTACCACCAATCTCCAACCAAACTGGACAATGATCTGCCAATTCTCTTCTCCACACCCTTTGCACTGAAACCTTCCAATCATCCACCAATTTATAAGACAAGAGAAATCTATCAAGCTTGTGCATAACAGTTCTGTTGCCGCTGAACCACGTGAATCTCCCTCTCACACAAGGGAGATCAATAAGCTTCATATCCTCCACAAAATGCATAAACTCTATGATGTCCCTGTTGGTTCCACTGTTACCTTTCACTAACCTCTTTTCCTTATACAACATTGTATTGAAGTCACCTCCGATACACCACTCCTCCATGGGCGGTTCTACCATACGGCCAGCTTGGACAAATGCCCAGGCTTGGCCCGGCCCAAAATTATTTTAGTATTCATGTTTTTTTAAATAAATAAAATTAAAAGAAAAAGAAAAAATAGTGGAACCTAGAATTGAAAAAACCTAAAGAAGGAAAGGATTATTGAATAACAGTTGTCAATGTTCTCTTTCCTTCTCTGTTCAATCTACCTTCGCCAACTTTAATGTAAAACTCTAACTTGATTATTAAATAGCAGATGTGTGTGTTTTTCTTTCTATATAATACAAATATATTACATGTGTTTGACTTGGTCTGTTAATCTATTTGATATGTTTGTTACAACAAGAAATAAGGATCTAGAAATTGCTAATAATATGTCGGTAAAGAATTAGATAAGCACATATATAATTTTTCTCTTTTTGTACTTTTATTTCACTGGAAAATTGACAAATGTTCAATGCAAAAAGTTTAATTTGAGCCACCAAACTAGTACAAAGTTGAATTGACATATTTACAATTACAAATCCATTAGTGATTATGTTAGTTGCTATTTTTCAAATGAAACTTGTACTAATAAGTCTATATATTATACTTGCTTAATTCCATATTTGATTCTAATTTATTGATTATAGTTTAGATTGTTTGATTAACCATGTACTAATTTATTTATTTATTTATTAGAGTTTAAGTTGTTTGATTAATCATGTACAATTACAAATACTAATTTATTTATTAGAGTTTTAAATTTTGTTTTATTTGTTTGAAGAACATTGTTTATTCTTATTTGTTTTATTTGATTATTATTCTTTTAAATTTTGAAACTACAATTTTGTAATTATTTTATCTTTTGTTCAGAGATGAGAAGATTTTTGGTTGCTAGAGAAAATATTGAGAATATGAATGTTGTGCAACCAGAAGCCGAATTAGAACCACTGTCTAATGGGGTTAATGAGTTTAATCCAAATGGGATTGTGCGTGATCCAGGTCGTAGGAAATAAATTAATGAGTATGCTACGGATATTCAAGACCAAGTGAGGAGAACATATATATTGAAGGGTCCAATGCAACCAGATTTGTCAGTTTTCCTCGTACTCCATTTGGGAGTATTAAAAGATTATTTAGTAAATCATGGTATAAGAATTATACATGGTTAGAATACAGTGAGATGAAGAATACAACTTGTTTTTTTCATTGCTTTCTCTTTAAGCAATCCGGGAGGGACGATCACTTTGGTTTTGAAGTCTTCACTAAAAGCGGATATAGAGATTGGAAACGTGCATATCAAGGCTTGAAAGGTCACAATGGTAGTCATAATAGTTTGCACAAGTCATGTGTCAAGCACTACGATGATTATAATAATCAAAGACAAAGTGTGACAAGTAAGTTTGCTAAAGCAACCAAGGATTCATAGAAGGGATGACTATTACTAATCTTCACCATTACTGTGCAGAGATTTCTTATGTTGCTATTGACAAAATATGTGTGGAGATTGATCATCACTTTAGTGAAGGAAGTAACATTATCCTTAATTACTTCTCATGTCTTGATCCCAAGAACTCTTTCTCCAAGTTTAATGTTGATAAGCTTGCTCGTCTTGCTGATATTTATCATGCAGACTTTTCTGATGATGACTGAGGAACAATAAGGGATCAACTTGACACTTATGTTATTTAAGTGAGAATAAATGCTTCATTTTACACTTGTGAAGATGTTCAAAGTTTGGCTATGAAGATGGTTCAAACTGAGAAACATTTGGTATTTTCATTGGTTTATAAATTTATTGAGTTAGCTTTGATATTGCTGGTGTCGACAGCATCCGTTGAAAGAGCTTTTTCAGCAATGAAGATTATCAAGTCTAAATTGCACAATAAGATCAACGATGTTTGGTTCAATAACTTGATGGTATGTTACACCGAGCGGGAGATATTCAAGTCACTTGATGATATTGATATTATTCTAACATTTACCGCAAAGAAGTCTCGAAAAGGACATTTGCCTCGTGATTTTGTTTAACTCACTATTGTAAGGTTATGTTTATCTCTTTTATTATAAACTATATTTTTTGCAGTCTTTAATTTTTTGTCCAGACTTTATAATTTTTCTAACTCCGGCACTGCACTCCTCCCCTCCCGCTTCCCTCTTAATCTTCATCAATTATGCCATTTCCTAAAGATTTTTCTGAAGCCAGTCAATGGAGACAAGACTAGTTAAATCGATTCCTAAAGATTTTTCTGATACTAATTCAGTCAAAGGAGACAAAACCAGTTAAATCGATTCCTAAAGATTTTTCTGAAGCCAGTCAATGGAGACAAGACCGATTAAATCGATTCCTAAAAATTTTTCTGAAGCCAGTCAATGGAGACAAGACCAGTTAAATCGATTCCTAAAGATTTTTCTCCTCCCGCTTCCCTCTTAATCTTCATCAATTATGCCACAAGATTTTTAAATTTTTAAATTTTTTTTCAAACATACAACATCAATTATACAATAAAGCGCGGCTTAATATGAATACTTTAGCCATCTCTTATTTTCGAAAGCGCTATCTATAAATAAACGTTGGTTAAGAAGATGCTGCCTAAATTTGGCATGGTAAAAGAAGAACGCAAGTCTTCAAAATACCAACTTTAAACCTCTAAATTAATCTCTAAACCTTTAAAACACTTCAATTTTTTTTTTTCATTCCAATATCAATCCAGATGTTCAACTTTGTAAACCAAGTGACGGATGCATTTGAATTAAATTAAGTTGGAGATTTGTTAAATTCAAAGGCTATTTATTAAATCTAAGAATATTTACTTATAATTATTTATTAAATTTGTTTAAAATAATAAATTTTCCTATTAATATCGGGTTATATGAAATGTGTAGTTGTCTTGTTTTTCTTGTGGTTGATGTATGGCTGAGAGACATAAGTTAAGAGATAAGCAATTCAACTTGAGCCACAAAAAATAAATAAAAGTAGGCAATAATCGTTGCAAAAATCTATTGACTTACTTTTCATTCTTCTAAAATTTTCCAACACGGGAGAAGAAGATTCATACATACATTCCAAACTAGTCATAGTCATTGAGCTGGGGTAGCACACTATTTTAAATCTTTCTATTGGTTTCACTAATTTCTTTGACTTACATTATATAATTGCTTTATAGTTTTATTTTATGAAATCATTAAAAAAAAAGTTGAACAATGGGTGTAAAAACATCATATATTACATTATAAAAAAAAATAATTATAGTACTATTAAATCATTGTGACATAATATAATCAATTAAAAACATTAAATAAAATTCATATGTTTTTATAAATAAACTTGATTTACTTACTTAAATTTAAAATTATTTGACGTTTGTAATTCTTTAAAATCATATAAATGTATGGATATAATGTGTTGATTGTGTACAATTTTTTTACAACTGCATCGATATTAAATTCTTCTTAAAATTACGAATAAAAAATATTGTTATTAGATATGATTGACATTATTTTATAGGTAAGATGTCATGATAAAGTGTGAGATATTATGTCTCTATGTGATCAAGTAAGGAAGCAATATGTGAAACATAATATTCTTCATTATGTGAGACATCCTGTCTCGTTCAAAAGTAGTTTCACGCTAAGTAAATCTCGCGTTATTTAAGAATTTATTTCCTTATTTATCTAATCAGGTTTAATCTTTTATTCACTTTTTCGAATGAAGTTTTTCCATAGATCATTATGAGTAATATTAAATTTGAAGAATTGTGATATGATAAATATTTAACCAATCAACATACTGGTAGATTTGTTGCTTTCACTTTTGGAAAGTTTAGTTGCGTTCAAAGAACATATTGCATTTTACCTTAATAGAAGATGAAGAATGTTATTTCTCCATCAGAAGATGAAGAATGTTATTTACCCAACAATGTAATTATGATAACCTCAGTAGAAGTTTGATTATCTTCAGTATTCCTTACCTTCACATCAAGTTGTCGTCTTTCCAGTTTATCCCTAACAGAGAAGCCTTTTGTGAAATCAAGTTCGACTCTATTTTGTGGTGTTCCTTTATTTGAGAAGCCTGAGGCAATTCGGTCAATTCATTTCTCCCTAAAATAAATGGCGGTCTCTTTATTTGATAAGGTTGTATATCCCCGGATTCCCTTTTGGATGGAAAATGGTAGTCTCTTTTAAGTAGTATGTTAATTCCCAGAGAAGTTGTCCACATATATCAATTCTATCTACCCCGATAGATGGTTGATCTCTTCGATATGATAGAGATAATTCGTTTTTGAGGTTTTGTCTGCTCCAATGGATGGTTGATCTTTTCGATATGATAGAGATAGTTCATTGTTGAAGCCTTATCTACCCTAATGGATGGTTGATCTCTTCGATATGTGATCCACTGTCGCGCACGGATCAAAACAAGTATTTTTAAAAACGCAGTACAGTGACAATGTGACTCGAATTGTCTCACAAGGATTCTTGTTTGTATTAATAAAACGTAACTGAATGAGGGGGTTTTGGTTTTAGGTTTTCGATTTAGAAAACACAAAGCAAATAAATGATTTAAAATAAGTGATTATAGAATTAAGCCAATCTACTGCTCGGTTTCCTCCTAATCATTGATTTTTACCTTAATAATTTCCTAAGCGGAATCAATCTCTATATGATTTTTATACCTATTTTCAAGCGCAACAAATACAAACAGATTGGATTCCTATTCCGAATTAAGCAAATAGATTAAGCCCTCTTGAATTAAGCAAACACGAATTACAAACGCGGATTAACAACAAAGCGACGTAACAACAAATAAATAAAAGTAGGCAATAATCGTTGCAAAAATCTATTGACTTACTTTTCATTCTTCTAAAATTTTCCAACACGGGAGAAGAAGATTCATACATACATTCCAAACTAGTCATTGAGCTGGGGTAGCACACTATTTTAAATCTTTCTATTGGTTTCACTAATTTCTTTGACTTACATTATATAATTGCTTTATAGTTTTATTTTATGAAATCATTAAAAA